GTGTATGGGGTGATCAGATGGATTGGAGTTCCAGAGGGAAAGAAAAATTGCTGGGCAGGACTTGAGCTGGTGAGCAGCAACATTTCTTTCTCTCAGTACAAAGCATGTGCTGATTATGTGGTGTTTTGTGCTTGTAAATAATAAAACTAATAATCAAGTCCTTTCAGGACAGTGAGGCGACAACTTGTTTGGATGGGACATTTGGTACAAAGCGGTATTTTACCTGTGAAGGAAACAAAGCCTTGTATGTGCCACTGACCAACTGCAAACCAGACAGCAGATTTCTGTTCATCCCGAATGAGATCCCGAAACCACTTGAACCACCCTCAGGTGAGACCCTTTATTTTTCCTCCACTTACAGAAACATTCTGAATGTTAAAGGCCTCAAGATTGTTTTATACTTTTTTTTTCCATCTTAGCCACACTCCTGGAAGATTTAAATGAAGATGTTCCCCCTTTTGCTGAGCAAGATGTTTTGTCTCATCTGGTTGGCAGAATGAGGGGAATCCAAGGTCACTTCAACTCCTGCTATCTAGATGCCACTCTCTTTAGGTAAACATCTCAAGAAACTAATGTTATTTCATGTTTCATTCTGTTTCATGTGTGTTGATGAATTTTCTTTTTTTTCTCTGCTTTTACAGTCTCTTCACGTCATCCACAGCTTTCAACAGAATGTTTAACAGATCAGCAGATAGCGAGGAAGGCATTTCGGACATTTTAAGATGGGACATTGTGAACCGTTTACGCAGGTAAAGGCTCTTAATACATAAGAATGTCACGTAACAAAGCTAGTGCACAGCCATGTTTGTGGAGCTTGAGTAAACACACTTGAGTAAACACACATATGGTTTTGTGTGTTTATAGTCATCAGGGTACTCACAGTTCATTTCATATGACCTCTGTCTCTCTCTACAGATCAGGCTTTGTTCCAGCAGAGAGTGTGATGAAGTTTCGTAAACAGCTGGGCTGCAAATCTTTTGCTACAGAGGAGAAAGGTATTAACTATCCCATAGCAGCCATTTACTTGTTTGATGTAGAGCTGCAAGATTTTCATCTATGGCTTAGAGCTAACTCTGATCTCTAAAACATTTTTACTGCTATTTCCTTAAGATCCAGAGGAGTTCATCACCCTACTACTAAAGCATGTTTTACACATAGAGCCATTGCTCAAAATCAGGTTTGTTTCAATTGCACTGCTTATATTATATTTTATTATGTTATGTTATGCTATATTATACACCAAATCAGCATACAGGTGCATCTCAATAAATTAGAATGTCGTGGAAAAGTTTCAGTAATTCAACTCAAATTGTGAAACTCGTGTATTAAATAAATTCAGTCAAAAGGAGCCCCTGCCAAGTATTGAGTACATGTACAGTAACTGAACATACTTTCCAGAAGGCCAACTATTCACTAAAAATGTTTTTTTTATTGGTATTTTTCTTATGAAGTATTCTAATTTGTTGTGAATTGGTGGGTTTTTGTTAAATGTGAGCCAAAATCATCACAATTAAAAGAACCAAAGACTTAAACTACTTCAGTCTGTGTGCATTGAATTTATTTAATACACGAGTTTCACAATTTGAGTTGAATTACTGAAATAAATGAACTTTTCCACAACATTCTAATTTATTGAGATGCACCTGTATTAGAATGATTTCTGAAGGATCAAGTGACACTGACGACTGGAGTAATGACTGCTTTTGAGCTTTGCTGTAACAGATTTAAATTACATTTTAAAATATATTAAAATATAAAATGGCTATTTTAATTAGTAATATATTTCACAATATTGAAATAGAAATAGAAATGCAGCCTTGGTGAATATAAGAAACTTCTTTAAAAAACTTTAAATAATGTTACTGACCCAAAACTTTTGAAACCAAAACTTGGTGTACATTCTGTATAAACAAGCTTAAACTGAATATCTTAACACCTATAAGTGTTTTTTTTTAGGTCACATGGAGACTTGGCACAGGACGCCTATACGCATCAGATCATTGTAGAGAAGAATCAGGTGCGAGCTGTGCCTTCAGTTCAACAGCTGCTTGAGATGTCTTTCGTGTCAAGCAATCTAAAGTTTGAAGAGGTTTGGTAATTTCTTTGATAATTTCTTCTAATTAGATGATTATTTATTATATTCAGTTTTGCTATCTCATAGTTTCCTACTTCGTAGATACATTGCAAACAGAAGTATGCATTATTAATCAGACCTTTTTTTATTTTAGATTCCATCTTGCCTTATAATTCAGATGCCACGGTTTGGAAAGAAGTTCAAGATGTTCCCTAAAATCATTCCCTCAACAGAGCTGGACATCACAGACATCTTGCATTGTTGTGAGTTTAACAAGTATATTTCTAAATGAAATCTGCTCCTGATAACATTTGTTTTGTGAAAGCAGATATTGGACAGTTTCAGATGCAATATCTCTCACGCTTCTACTGTTTTCTCTGGCAGCTCCCAAGGAATGTTTTCTGTGTGGTCATCTTGCTGAATATGAGTGTGTCCAGTGCCTGATGGACCAGAAGCTCCAACCAGGCAAAATTAAGCAGTATTGCTCCACCTGCAACACACAGGTAGTGCACCTAATACAAAAATCTTATTTATGTACTTTGAATTTCTACAGTTCTGTGATACAATGCATTTTACATGTTTTTTTTTCCCATCCATATGCCTTCACCCACAGTCAAACCCAAATATTTTTACTCTTTTCTACAGGTTCACATTCATCCCTCCCGAAAGGAACATACTCCTCACAAACTTACAGTTCCAGATCATCTTCCAGAAGATGCACCTGTACAGAGGCACCAGATGCAGCTGTTTGCAGTCCTCTGTATAGACACCAGCCATTATGTATCTTTTGTCAAATATGGGCCTAACCCACGGCCCTGGATCTTTTTCGACAGCATGGCTGACCGATGCGGTATGTCAAATATGTTAAATCTCCAACATATTAAAATGTAATCTATATATTTACATAATTTGCATAGGATCACTCCACCGAGGTTTCACAAACCCTTTTTTTAACCAGATAAAATGCTGTTTATCACCAAAATGGGTGTTCAAATTTAGTTAATCCCTCAATATCTTATTTTTTATCCTTAGGTGATGATAACAATGGCTACAACGTTCCCGTGATCAGGTCCTGTCCTGAGGTTGGAGACTTCCTTTCACAATCTGAAGAGGAGATGTCCACAGCAGATGTGAGTCAGTGCAGTGAGCTGGTGCGCAGACTGCTGTGTGATTCATACATGTGTCTATATCAGAGAACAGAGTGAGCAGAGACATTTGTGATATGTTCAGACCTTATGTCTTGTGTCATTACATCATCAGAGTTGACACATGAGTTACACTGATGTTTTGCTTAGACACTGTTCTTTATCAAATTGTTCTTTTGTGATTTCTAATAAAAGTGTATTTATATGTAAAAGGACTGATGTACGTTAAGACATTTTATCAGGTGAAGATATACATTTATACACAAGCCACAATTTATTTTGATAGTTTAGTATGTTCAGTATTATTTCTTTTGTAGTACGTTCAGTATGATTTTTGATTTTTGAAAAAATGATGCTGTACCAATTTCATTTGTCTGCCTTAATGATAAAGCTTCATTTAATTCGTAGTTGATTTAAGAGTTTGAACTCTTACTGCTCTTTCACTCTTTTGGTCATATTTGTATCTTGTTATACATCGATTTTTATAAGTACAGACTATAAATTATAAGTACTACAGAAACAAATGACCTCAAAAGAGGTGTTACGGATGAAGTAGAAAAACTATGAGGTAGAAAAAATATTAAATAAAAAAAAAAATACGGTGGGTTTAAATGTTTTGTGAGGCCTAATTGAAGAGAAGCATGGCGTTGGTGCCCTGCTGCCCTCTAATGGAAACATCACAGCACTGACTCTTCAATAACGAAGTTTCCTTGATTACCATGTTCTAAACTGTGAGGTCTGATTCTCAAACGAATCGTTCTTTTGAATCGGTTCTTTTCAGTGAATTGGTTGACACGATTTGCCAAACAAGTGAAACAAACTTTTCATATTATATTATATTATATTATATTATATTATATTATATTAAAATTACTATAGTGTTTCTAAACATAAACCAGGAAATATTATTTCACTGATAGATCATATATGAATGTAGATATGCACATAGCAATAGGTTTACGTTTAAACAAAAGTTTGGTTGTAAAATAAATAAATAAAGATCAATGTACAGACCACAGTAGATTGTTGTTAGGCCCAGTTATTAAGCAAAATCCTATGGCAGTTCCTGGTCACTGACCTTTAAATTGTAAACTGTGAATCGTGTTTAGGTTATACGTTTATTATAGCAGTTGTTAAAGACACAAAGATCATATATAACATGTGGTTGCAAAACAGTTTCCACCTTCGTACATCTGTTGTCTGGACAGAGATAGGCCTCCTGCAGGTTTAAGATAAATGTGGCCGTTGAGAAGCAAGGCATACTTGTTAGTGAGCACACGCACAAAATATCACTAGGGATTGAAACAAATACTTCTAATAGAACTGATTTGTTAAAATGACAAGAAACACGTGCCAGCACAACTTCTAAATAGGCTAACTCATCTCAATGTATGAAAATGTTTGTCTCTGGAACTTTAAGATCTGCAAGTAATCTTGAGGCTGATGGTTGAAATTTTTTAACTAATCAATGATGTTTAAAAGTCTTCCTTATGCCTTATTGTATTATTCTACTGTATAAAAGGTAAATAATAACTAGCCATGTGACAGAGGAGGCTGAGGAGTCAAATGCTACAAATGTATTATTATTATTATTGATGATGATGATGCTGATGCTGATATTAATCTTTATAACGCTTTCAGCAAGTCTCTCTTCTCTGGTACCACGTGGCTTTAACCCCCCATAGTAAATTAGGGGCGAGGTCACAGAGCGGAGCTGTCTGGCACGCTGTGTGGGAGGAGCCAGGGCTGGAATTACGCCTTTTTATCCTTTTAAACACGTCTGACATGCGCAGTGCGTTAAATTTCGGGCTTGGTCTGTTATACAACTGTGTTTTTCTTCATTCTGCCTACAGCTCCTCGCCGGCATTTTACTTTAACAGGCTTTTAACTGTGTTATTTTAATAATAAGACCCATAGAAATGAGTGGGGACCATTCCCACAACGATTCCCAGGTAAAGTGTTTGTGATTTAAGGTTGTCAGTATTTTTTTTTCTTTCTTGATGGTTTGTAGTCACTAGCTCGGCTGTTTAAATTCCATCCGCAGCGGCAGTTTTCCCCCAGCATGCTAAGCTAACAGGCACTAGAAGTCGGCTTTGAATGTAATAATTTTATATTTTCAGCCCTTGGTATCCATTGGCGCTTTTCTTCCATTAACGTTTCCTAACAAATGCTTCATTTTGGGAATAAAAACTTTATACAGTCCCCTGTCCTCCGCAGCGGTGGTATTTAAACGCTGTTTAATGAACAGGCTTGAGCGCTAACCCTCCGACTAGCATCAAGTTGAAAGTTAGCAGCCTATTGACACGGCACGATTTAACATTAACTTATACACCACTGTTTTTCCGCAGATCGACTCGGGATCCAGACATAATGGTGAGTGGGACTTGTCTGATCACCACATTAATATAAAGTTCAAGTTTACGATTTATACATCTAACGTGATCGCTCAGGAGCTTGCTTGACGACCAGTTAGTTTTGAGGACAGAAATGGCGTCCCAGAGACTAAGTCCCCTCTCTCTCACTGACAAGCGCCTATTGTTCACATTGAGCCCTTAAAAGTCGTATTTATATTGCTTTTAAATCAACGAAAAACGGCGATTTTGAAAGGGAAAGAGATTATTTGCCAGTTAGTGTAGCTTGATCGTTTGTAGAGTTAGAAAAACGGTCTAACGAGGCTTGTGAAAGTGAGGGTTTGGGGGTTGAGGACTTAGTCTCTGCGCCATTTTCTTTTTCTCTATCTAGCGGTCTGAGTGTAGTGAACGTTAAGTGCACACCGACGTGATTATGGAGGCGAAGGTTTGAGAATCGTGTGTGACCTGTTCCGATTCCACGCACGAAAATAACCCCTCAAGCTCAAATACACCTTTATTCGATGAGATGTGATGAGAAATGCACGTTTACTAATCAAAGCAGTAACTACAATTATGTAGGAATCTGGTATCTAGAAAACTTCTCTTTTCTTTTAAGGTGTACTGTAATATGATCTGCTTCAGATAAACAATTACAACAAGACTTAATAAACTTAAGTGAGCCCTGTACTGTGGAATTTTCATTTGACCTAAACCTGATTTCACACAAGTGTCATTGGTGAGATGAGTTTGGTCATGTAGGTTCGAAACATGGTCAGCCTCATCCAAAGGTATTGCTAAAAGTCATTGCTTTTATTATGACTGTGTTTTTATTTATTTATTAATAATTATAATAAAAACTCCAAAAGATCAGTGAGATTATTCCCCATTTCTGTACAGTTTTGGCAAAACTTTAGGATGCGATGACAAGCAATCCCACAGCACCAGACGCTTGTCTAGTTTTATGCAGTGCATTATTTTAGGTGCCAATTGTTAGTTTATTGTACATGAACGTAAATAAAAACAAAATTTTTATTTTGTTCACATTTCTGTGATGCTCAAACAGTTAGGTGATAATCAGACAGGGATGTTATGCACTTCATTTTATGGGGCACCATTAACATTTCTGACACTTCCTGTTAAAGAGATGTTAGTAGTATAATGGTATAATATTTGTTAAAATGTATTGTTCGAATATAATATAATTCAAGTTCATTTTTTTTAAAACCACGCTGAACTGCAGCTAAACTTGATGGGCAGTGATCATGCATTTTCGTTTTGCTGTAATTTACTTTGTTCAAACGAGTTTCAGTGATATTCTGCAAGGTAGGGTAAATGATTATAAAACTACAGTAATTATGTAGCTCATATACATTTGCATATTGTTTTTTTTGTTGCATTTATAATCCACACCATCCTTACTTTGAATGTGCATGATGCTTCTGGTAGTCATTTTTGCTTCCCTTCATAAGAGCGGCTAGGATGTTTAACCCATGGCTGTGCTGATGCACGAGCTGCATGTTTACACCTTGTCATTCCACTGAACATCCACCAAGTGCTTAACAGCGTTTGGGACATAAACCCATGCTCAGACCTTGCACAATAAAATTAGACAGTGACATGATTTGTGTAGAAACTTGTAGAATTGCTTTATTTTGCACATTCTGCATGGTCTTCCCATACTTTACTGCATTTGTATGTCTAATGTGTACCATAAACTGTTTTTTAAAATTACATATGAGGTAATGAGTGTTGGCCTAGCAGTCTTCAAAATTATACAGAGACTGTTTTTTTGTGTTAGGTTAGCATGTCTAATTGTGTTTGGATGTGTTTTTTTTTAGTATATGAAGCTTTTGTTTGTTTTCTTTGGTTACCTCAGTACATTCTTTTTAGTCAAAAGCCTTATTTCAGTCATACAGATGTCGTTATTGTGGATTTGCTTTTTGTTATGAAGCTCCAGCATGTAACAGTTCTGCTGACAATGAACTTGTCCACTAGAGGGTACAGTTCACAAATAAGTTCTCCCACAGTCCCAGATGTGCATGTTTTGCTGAAGGGCAAAAATGAACATGGTGAATGGTTGGCCCATAGTGAGGTGTTTTTTTTTTTTTTTGTTTTTTTTTAATCATGTTATTTATTTTAAATTTTTTTATGAAGGCCTATAAGGTAACTCCACGCTTATTGATGAATATATGCCTGAACAGGAGTTCAAGTAAGGGTGCATATTTAGAGGTAGGGAAAGGTTTGTCGCATTTGGTAATGCGCTCATTCGTACTGGGGAAGATAAAGGATTCGATTTCACATCCTAACTGAGCACTCCTGTCCCTCTTAATGCTTGAATGCATCCTACTGTAACATGAGGTTCATTGTTTCTCTGTGTTCTTAAAGGATGACATTTGTGTTAGTTTGGATTCTGAAGCCTCGTTTAATTCCCATTCGTTCTTTTGGTCTTTGTGACAGAAAGAGAGTTTTGCTTTCCCCTTTTGGGAGGCCTGTTACAAAACACCTCCAGCTTTCTCACTGTCCGCTACAGTGTCAGTAGAATATGCCTGGCTCTCTTGTAACCCCATCCGGCCTAGCAACCTACACATTTCCTAAAGCAATAGTCCTCTCAGAGTAAACAGTCTGCAAAGAATGGGGCCTCTATAAACACCATACATAGCTGAGAGTGAAAACTGGACACTTCACGTCAAGAGGTAAAGTGCCAAAATCTACAAGGTGTGACTAATGTGTCTGCAGTAGGTCGGGCAAGGACAACCCAAAATGTGTCATGCTGTACTTATTTCAAACCAGTTGTCTGTAAATGGTCTTCAGTGTTTGGCAGGCTTGTGCAGGTCGCTCTGAAATGGATTTCTCATCCAGGTGTGAGCAAAATGAGCCGCCATAATGTTTCCAGATGAACTACTGTACTATCCTTTGTCTAGTTTTTGTGAACACCTATAGCAGTTAAATAACTTCAATGTGGAGGTCTTTTTGTTTGAATTCTTTTGTACACTTTCTAACCCCCGGTTAACTGTGCTTGAGAATCTGTCTTTCCTGTTCCAGGGACATACTTTTGTTGCCAGGTGTTCGTTGGCTTTTGAATGTGCTACTTAATCTTTAATTTCTTTGTTGGCAGATTCTCACAAACACAAAGATAAATACAAGGACAAAGAACACAAACACAAGGACCACAAGAAAGACAAAGAACGTGAGAAATCAAAGTACAGCAACAGGTATGACGTCACTGTTATTCTCATGTACAGTAGATATATAGGTGGTTTATAGCGCAGTTTGCTCTTTATGGAGTGTGTTTGATAAGCAGGGTGTGGCCTTTAGTGTTCACAGGAAGGAATGTTGGCTTTACTGCAACTTCCTTTGTAAACACTATCATCTATTTGGAGACGATTTTGTTGATGGACCAGATCATTGTGGCAATTAGATCACGGCATGTTTTATTGCATTTTGGCAGCGAACACAGGGACTCCTCGGATAAAAAGCACAGAGATAAAGATAAAGAGAGGCTGAAGCTCAAAGATGGATCCTCAGACAAGCAGAAGGACAAACACAAAGAGAAGAAAAAGGAAGAAAGGGTGGGCAGAGTCCTCTGTTTCTCTCACATTGGAACAATTTTATCTGAGCTAAGTCCTCTGGCTCTGGAGGAGTTGTAAATAGTCTTTTGTGATTCATACAATATTGAGTGCTGTTATTGACCTCTTTCTATTTTGTGTATGTGTGTGATTTTTTTAAATTTATTTTATTATTTACTTCCTCAAAAGTCTTTCGATGGCAAGCCCAAAAAAGAGAAAGAGAATGGATTTGAAAGGTGAGTGGCAACTCTAAATGTGACAGTGAGGCAACTGTAAGGTATGAAGGAAAGGGGTCATAGCATAGCTTTCTTTATTTTTCTAAAATGAGCCACTCAAAATAAAGTCAGACTGAAATGATCAGGAATCTTATTATAAATACACTTCATTTGGGAATCATTTAGCCGCTAAATACCTCCCACTGATAGCAAACTTTCTACACCTTTTTACTCTTGATCTTCTGTTTCGTATGATGGCATCTATACTGCTTCCTCAAAACACCAAATAGGTGTGATTATGTAGATTGGACTCATGTTCATGCAGATGTCAGCAGCACCAACTTCTTTCAATAGATGGTTGTTTTGTACTGAGGGGATTTGAGTTCTAAAAGTATGTTTTCATTCTACAGCGAATTGTTTATCTCAGAAGATCAAGGCAAATTTCATTTCCTTATGATATGATCCCTTTAAGATCAATGGCATGGTTGTAATCACATAATTAGAAGCATGAAGGGTTCTCAAATTTGATCAAATGAGCAAAGAAAAAGAATAATGTTTGTCTCATCATTCACACAGCCCTTTCATCAAGTCTGAACCTGATAATGACTTCTACCACTCTCTTAAACACGAGAAGTCTCTGAAGAGAGAGCGCAATGATGACGAGTAAGTGACATTGCATTCACAGGCCATCTTGAACTCACATGTGACATTAAGAGAACCTTCCCATCTTCTGTAGTCACGAAAGCGCATTGATTTGCTAATCTTTGTTTTAAATGTTAAACATTAGAGCAAATAGGACTGTAGTTAATGCTGTCTGAAAGCTGTGTGGATACCGGACATTTAAAAAATTTTTTTGCTGCCTTCAGTGCCGAGTTCAAGCCCAAAAAAATTAAAACCGAGAATGACAGAAGCGAAAAGAAGGCAAAAAAACGGAAACAGGAAGAAGAGGTACGTGGATGAAGTCACTGGCTTATCTCTCCAGGTTACACTTTCCAAGAATTGTTTTTTAACATCAATAATGTTAATCTTTTGATTTGCCATAGGACATAAAGCCCAAAAAGAAGATAAAAGACAAGAAAGGGGAAGTTGCCACAGATGGCAAGAAAAAAGCAAAAAAGGAGCCAGAAGAGAAGTGGAAATGGTTAGTCTCACATCCTCTGATGGTCAAGTAATTGTAGGCTGACTCCTCGTCTTTTGATTTATTCGGGGATATGGTGCAGATCAACAATGTCCTTGTTCTGGCACTTTGCGGAGCTATTTTGGTTGCTTGTGTTGGGATGTTGGTTTACATCCTTCCATCTCTGTGTTTCTTCATGCCATTTAGGTGGGAGGAGGAGAGGTACACAGATGGCGTGAAATGGAAGTTTTTGGAACACAAAGGGCCTGTATTTGCGCCACCATATGATCCTCTTCCCAGCAATGTCAAGTTCTATTATGACGGTACGCTCTTTAATGACTCTATGGCAGTGCACAAGGTTGGTAGATCTTCCTATTCGGGTTGTTCTGATTGGCCGGGCATCAAAACTGTCGTAGAAGCAGGTGTTGGATTGTATAAACTTCAAATGTTTTAAACACCCCTGCTCTGTTGAACACACATGCCCTGTCTGTGTTTAGTTCCAGTAGTCTGTTAAAGACAATGTAGGTTTTTCCAACCAAACTTAAAGTTCTTGGCCTTTATCTTCTGTAATTGGCTCTGTATTCAGATGTTAAGGCTTCAGTACCTTTGAAAAGTCCTGATTTAAAACATGGATTCAGCTCTTTTGCTGCTGTTCTGAACCTGCTTTTATGGTATTTTATGGTCTTTCACCAGGAAAACACATGAAACTGAGCTCTACTGCAGAGGAGGTGGCCACCTTCTTCGCAAAAATGTTGGACCATGAGTATACCACTAAGGAGGTTTTTCGGAAAAACTTCTACAAAGATTGGAGGAAGGTAATGTTGCTAAGGTGTCGTCTTTCCCCCTTGCCTTTTAATTGTTTGTGACTTTTATTAATCTTGCATGATCTTGTCATTTTAGGAAATGACGTCTGAAGAGAAATCCAAAATCACAGATCTGAACAAGTGTGACTTCTCTGAAATGAGCGAATATTTCAAAGCTCAGTCTGAAGCTAGGAAGGCCATGACTAAAGAAGATAAACAGGCAAGATTTAACCTCTAAATAGCAAAATGACTCTTGGTGAAATATTGCTGTGTTTTGCTTTTAACGGAGTACAACATTTTTTCCCCCTCAAGAAAATTAAAGAGGAGAATGAGCGCATTCTGCAGGAGTATGGCTTCTGTATCATGGACAATCACAAAGAGCGCATCGCTAACTTCCGTATTGAGCCTCCGGGCTTGTTCCGTGGCAGAGGTGACCATCCCAAAATGGGCATGCTGAAGCGTCGTATCCGATCTGAGGACATTATCGTTAACTGCAGCAAGTAAGGAGTGCTCCTCACACTCTGACATCAGCCCATTTGGTGGAAAACATGTTTACAATCCTGTGCTTCTCATTGTAGGGACTCAAAGCATCCTAAACCACCACCTGGGACAAAGTGGAAGGAGGTACGTCATGACAACAAGGTGACGTGGTTGGTGTCCTGGACTGAGAATATCCAAGGCTCTATCAAATACATCATGCTGAATCCCAGTTCAAGAATCAAGGTAAATTAGCACATGGCTGTAGGCATGCCTTGTTTAAATAGAATTTGGGTTTTCTAAGCACTGCTTTAGCCAAGGATTGTATTTCCTCACATTGTTGTGAAATATTATTACAATTTAAATATTAAAATAGGGTTATTTTAAAATTTAATATTTCTGTGATGTCAGAAATACAAATTTTCAGCGGTCATTACTCCAGTCTTCAATTCTTAACAGTGTTAAGCTGCTTAATTTTTTCAGAATTCTTTGTTGTTGAATAGAAAGTACAAAAAGACAGCATTTATTTGAAAAATATTTTATAAAGTTGTCTTTACTGTCACTTTTGATCAATTTAATGCATCCTTGCTGAAAGTATTAGTTTTTTAAAAATCTTTCAAATCTTACTCGCCCCAAACTTTTGAACTGTAGTGTACTTTGGTACCATTTTTGCCTTGAAGTAAATGTAACCAATAAATCTTCATAGACAAAATAGTATAGATATTAGTAATTTCATTATCATAACATGAAACTAATAATGATATAACATGAAAATAATTATTGGCTTAGTGTTTTTGGCCATAATTGTAATATTGGAGTATCTCATGTGTTGTTTCTTGCAGGGAGAGAAGGATTGGCAGAAATATGAAACAGCCCGTCGATTGAAAAAGTGTGTGGAACGGATCCGTGCACAATACCGAGACGACTGGAAATCAAAAGAGATGAGGATCAGACAGCGCGCTGTTGCTCTTTACTTCATTGACAAGGTTTGCATTGCTTAGATCAATGTAACGTCCTTCACGTCAAGCCCATGACCCTGAAAGCGTGTGATGAGTAGGTTAATTCAGAATTACTCTTTAAAAGCACTTAAAGCGATTTTTTTTTTCTCTCAATGGGTGTACATTTACATTGAGGTTTGTAGTATCTTTTTGCGCTAAAGCAGAAACTGAAAAGCAGAACGGTGTTATGCATCTCCATATTTCTCTGGTGTAGCTGGCTCTGAGAGCAGGTAATGAAAAAGAGGAAGGAGAGACGGCTGACACAGTGGGCTGCTGCTCACTTAGAGTGGAACATCTAACTCTCCATCAAGAGATGGGTGGCCAGGAGTATGTGGTGGAGTTTGACTTCCTTGGTAAAGACTCTATTAGATACTACAACAAAGTCCCCGTGGAGAAGAGGGTAAGTGTTTGTTTTTTTTGTTCCCCCCCCCCAATTACATTTGCTCAGTTCCAAAACCTAGTGAGCTGCAATGTTTTAAGGCATCATAAGCACACCTCTGAAGACTAATTTTAGTTGAATTATAAGGCAGTATCACATGTAAAATTTATTGCAAAAAGTTCAGTCTCCCCAAGATGGTGGACAAGGAAAAATAAATGTTGATTTATAAATACTTAATTCAATATTGAAAAGATTGCACAGAGGACCACGGCACTCTTGTGTAGTGTGCAGATTTCTAAAATGGAGCATTCCAAATCAGTCACTTACGAGGTTCCTTTTCAGTTAGGATGCTGCCTGAGGCGTCTCATTAGGTTTTGGAATAGAGCTAATATATCCAAAACTCTGCAGCCCATGTCCTTACACCAAAAAGTCCACTTGTCGTATTCTTCAGCAACTTCACAGGTTACTAATTGCATGCAATAAAATCCTATTTACAGCTTTTAAAGGTTGTCACGGTCTAGTACCACAGTATGCAATTGAAGTGATCCATTGTTATGCTGTTGCATGCTCTCTCTTGACTCTTGCCAAGTTATTAAGCGTTACTAAGTTTTGATTGTCGTACATGGGTAGTAGATGCTATGTGAAGTTTCGTGTCCCCATATTTTCAAAACTCAAGCTCATTTGCTTGTAGTTTTTGTTTTTATTTTTATTTTTTGGTTATGGTCTTTTGTTGTACATTGCCAGTGTCCTTGGGTTTGTGAAAGGCACTGTATTAATGAAATGTAGTGTTCAAATTACTGTGCCTTGTGCAAATGAAAACTCCTCCTCTGAGTGCTATTGATTAGCACAGTCTTGTGTTGGTTCTGCCTTTTGTGTAAAATCCTATTTAAAATGTTACAGGTTTTCAAAAATCTTCAGCTATTCATGGAGGACAAGGAGCCGGAGGATGATCTCTTTGACCGTCTCAATGTAAGCCGGCGCTTTCACCAGTCTACTAAGAAGAAAAAACTTATGCTGAATGCATCAAATTAAGACCGATGTATATAACACGAATGTAAAATTACTTCCCTTTCTCGCAGACCTCCATTTTGAACAAGCATCTTCAGGAGCTGATGGATGGCCTTACGGCTAAAGTGTTCCGTACTTACAATGCCTCCATCACACTACAGCAGCAGTTGAATGAAATCACAAACTGTAAGTACTGTTCACTGTATGTAAAGAGGATTGGGCTGAGGTACTAGACGCGGCCATGTTATGTACAATATGTGACCTTAAGTGTATTTGCTCAGCTGAAGACAATGTTCCTGCAAAGATCCTTTCCTACAATCGTGCTAACAGAGCAGTAGCCATCCTGTGTAACCACCAGAGGGCACCACCCAAGACGTTTGAGAAGTCCATGCAAAATCTTCAGACAAAGGTATGAGACGTTTGTGACCTTGTCCTCGTTGTCTTTATGCTGGTATTTTTTGTTAGTGTAGGATCTGTCGGACCATCTAAATGTTTGCCTTTCCTGCATTCACTTGTTCATTAAAACCAGATTGACGCAAAAAAGGAACAGCTTGCTGATGCTAAAAGAGAACTGAAAAGTGCCAAGGCTGACGCCAAAGTACGCAGAGATGAGAAATCCAAGAAGTGAGTGTCAAAATATTTGCTTGAAGGGGAGTCCAACTGGATTTGGCCCCTTAGATGCTCATTGTGCATTCGTGTGTGATTGTATGCTGCTTTAATGTTGATTGTTTTGGCAACCCAGGGCCGTGGAGTCCAAGAAGAAAGCTGTGCAGAGGATCGAGGAGCAGCTGATGAAGCTGGAGGTACAGGCCACCGACAGAGAGGAGAACAAGCAGATTGCCCTGGGTACCTCCAAGCTCAACTACCTGGACCCACGTATCTCAATAGCCTGGTGAGAATGATGTTTTCATTTGTGGCGCAATAAGATGCCCCTTGTCTGCTTTGGTGTCTTATTCCTTTTTGTTCTCTCCTCCTCCAGGTGCAAGAAGTTTGGCATCCAAATAGAGAAGATCTACAACAAAACTCAGCGTGAGAAATTTGCCTGGGCTATTGACATGGCTGGGAAAGACTTCCAATTTTAAATCATCTTTGCAATTTTACTTGTCCCTCCACCCCATCCTCTTTTTTTTTTTTTTAATAGATACTTTTAGTCTAAGTGATTTCCAGCAGGTTGTGAACCTGGCAAGGGAAAAGATGTGAAGCAAGCATAGTGTCAAGGAGGCCTGAATGTCATGATTTGGGTGACTGGTTTTTATTTTTTAGGCTGACCTGTAATCTTGTAGGTTTTATTGGGTCGATCATTTAAGAATGAAGTATGGACGGCCTGTGCGCAAGGTTGCATGGTCTTTAAGCCAGGAACTGGAGAATCAGTGGCTTGACCTTTTGAACACTTTTACTGTCTCACTCCCCTACCATCTCTGGACAAAAGGGGGGCCCAAGGATGTCCGAAAACTATGAACTTACATGGTCCTATAGCTACTGTATTCAACTACAACTTGCTTTGTGGATCGTTTCATTTTTAGTTTTGCTGTATTTTTAGCCCTCCTGTATTAATAATGAATTCTATATTTTAATAGAAGATTAAAAAAAAATAAAAAAAATAAAAGAATTGCTTAAGTACACCCATACGCCTTTTTTAGGAGAAGAAATGTGTACACCAGGGCCCGTATTTACAAAACATTTTATCTTACCACTAAGAGTTCTCCTAAGTAGAGGTAAAAGTTTTTAGCTAAGAGTTTTCTCTTAAAACCTATTCACAAAGCTGCTGAGACAAACTTTTATTAAGGAATAGAGAGAAGTCTTAAGCTAAGAGTAAGGGGGCGGGGTTGAGCTCATTGCTATGGATGGTGTCCGCATGCTTACTAACTGCACACAGTGATTGGCTGAGAGGGGAGGGTTCTCTGTCAGATTTATTCATACAAATTTTGTAGAGCTCAATATTATGTTGCCATATTCAGATTAAGGTTTTAAAAAAAAATTTGCACATTCAAATAAAGATTTTAAAATTCAGGATAAGTGTCATTAAGCAAGTATATGTTCAGTTAATTGTCAGTCTCTTACATGTGTGCTCCTCGTAAACAATTAGCGGATATGCATATAAACAGCCTTTTAATTAACAGAGTAGAATAATCATGGCTGATAGTAAGGCGTGTAAATGTAAAAGAAAAACCAAACGACGCAAGAACAGCTGTTACTTCTTGCCCAACTTGTTAATGAAAACAACAGTCATAATACCCTCGTGATTAAGGCAATACCTTTTTAAAAGCTCATTATCGTCAAACGTTTCTAAAATGTTTCTGTTCCGGCAACAGCCATTTTAGGATAGTTTGTGACTTGGTCTTAGTGACTTAGAAATCCTCTTCACTACTCTTAACGTTTCACAGATTTAGGAGCTAGTTTTAGTGCTAAAACGCTTTGTGAAATACTATTAGAGCAAAAATGTAAGGAGTCCTAAATTTAGGACTGACACGCCCATTATTTTTAGGATTTTCTCCTAAATCGGCAAGTTATGAGCTACTTTTAGCCTTAAAATGTTTTGTGAATACGGGCCCAGGTGGGATATTTTATGGGAAATGTGACCATGAAAAGCTGTGTGTTTGAGTGAGTGTTACATGAACTGTTCACTTTTAAACTGGAGTTCTTGTGTAAACTATATCCAGACCACAAAGTAGGATGCTTGGATGAGCTGCAGGGGACAACAGCTTCAACTGTATTTCCTTAAACATGCAGAATGTGATTTTCTTTTTTGTTACAGCATATACATCAGGGTTTTGTTTCCTGTGTAAATGTGAACTA